CCCTCGCGACCTGTGACCGAGCGCAGGTGCTGTGGGGCCAGGCCCCTCATCCTGGGGTCCGGAACGTGACCCGGTTCAGCGCAGCCGGGGGGCGAGGAAGGCCCCTGAGCTGTGCCCGCGGGCCGCTCTGCGTGCGGCCAGCTCCACGGGGCTCACCCAGCGGAAGAACAGCTCCTCCCTGGCACGGGCAGGGCATCCGGTGGGACCCAGCGCCTGGCCGCAGGGCCTAGGGCAGCCTGCCCCGCGGCCTCCGGGCGGCTGCGGGCTTCGTCCGCTGTTTTCTCCACGTATCGGCCGTTCAAAGGGGAGGCTCAGGCCGAGTGCTCCTGGCCTCGGGTCCCATGGACACGTTTTTGGAGTGAGCGCACACGTTTTTGGGGTGGTTTTGTGAGTGGAAAAACGTCAATTGTGGTAAATATAGCATTTTGCAAAGGGGAAGCTGAGGTTCAGAACAGAAACCTGGGGCGACCTGCTGTGTTCCCCATGCGTAGGCGGGAGGCGGAGGTGGTCAGCGGTGTGACAGGTGTGGGTCCCCGGTGCCTCCGCCACCGCACAGCCCCCATGGCCCATGCCACCAGCGTCAGCCAGAGACAGGCTTTGTGCCCGTGTGCAGGCCCCAGCTGGCCTGTGCCGCACGGAGGAGCAGAATGCACCTCCCCGAGCCGCGTGGCTGCGGCGTGTGGACCATGGGCCGCGTGGCGTGTGGGGGTGTCCAGGGCCTGGGCCTGCCATCGAGAAGTCTGTCCCCACGCCTGGCTCCCTGCACCTGGTGGGGGCCTGGGCCCTGGGACCTGGAGGGTGGCAGCACTGCCCACCTCTCCTCCACAGAGGAGCCGATTCTAGAGGTGACAGCAGTGCGTGTCTGGGCAGCGTTGGGGACGGGACACGTGACAGTCCTGGGGAGGCCCTAGCCCCATCCAGTCTGTCCTCGGCGCCTGTGGCCCCCGCGTCCCCACGACACTGACTGGCCCCTGTGTCCTTGCAGCAGTCCTGTGCCAACTGCGGCCGGGAGGCCATGAGCGAGTGCACCGGCTGCCACAAGGTCAACTACTGCTCCACCTTCTGCCAGCGCAAGGTACTGTGCCGCCCCCACCCCGGAGCCAGCACCCGCGCCCCCTGCTGCACGTCCCCTCCCCCCCAGACCCCGCTCCTGGGGCCTCGGCCCTGTCGCGCCCAGCGCCTCCCGAGGCCAGACGGCTCCACGCAGGTCATGAAAGCTGGAGTGGGCCGTTCTGTCCAGCCCATCACTGCTTCGATCTAAGGGACTTGGAGGGCGTGTCCTTGCGGAGCCCCCGCTGGCTCAGCCTCGCTGTAGGACGGCCACGCCGAGGGGCGGGCCACGCCGGCGTCTCTTCCTGTGCCCACTGGAATTTTGCCGTTACAGTGACGCATGGGGTGGACGAGCAGCAGGCGACGTGGTCACTGGCTGGCCCACACTGCCCACCACCTAGCTGTGCTGACACAGCCTCGCCCCAGCCAGGAACCGGCCACTTCGCATGCTCAGTGGAGCCCTTGGGGTCCGGATATTGCCGGGATGGGCAGGGTGACCGTGCAGCCCAGTGTGGGGTGCAGCCAGAGGAACCCCGGAGACCTGCCCGTGGCCTGGCCCGGTGGGTGCTAGAGACAGGAGGGGACAAACTGACTGAGAAGGGTGTCGGTGCTGGTATCACTGTGCCCGGGCACTGTGACGTGCATGGGCGGGGTGAGGCTGGTCTGTAGTGTCCCTGGCCTTGAACCAGGGTCTCCCTGCATCTGCCTGATGGGATCGTCTCACTGGAGAGGCCTGTCCACCCCAGGCTGTGGCCTCGGACCCTGGTCCTCGTCCCTACGCACTGCAGTCTCGTGTAAACCGTCCTCATCGAGCTCGAGTGGCCCTGAAGGACAGGCCTCAGCGGCCGCAGTGACAGCCAGCCTCCAATGGCACAGCTCCCAGGCCGCCCGTGCCCCGGGGGGCTGGGGGTGCCGTCAGCCTTGTGCTGGGTGCTAGCTCGTGGCCTCGGTGTTCGCTCTGGATGTGGGAGGTGTGTGTGGGGTGCGTTTTCATCGAGGCGTGATCCACAGACCACAGACCTTCATGAGGACACAGTTCAGGGCTTGTTGTTGCATTTGCTGGGCACTCGTCACAGCTCGGCCGTCGCTCTTTCCATGCATGGGGCTCCCATGGCCTTGCCTTCCCTGGGCGACCCGCTCGGTGGTGTCCAGGGCCTGCCCCTTCCTCTCAGTGGGGCTGGGGCCTGCCCACGCTGGAGCCCGTGCCTGAGGCTAAGTGCCATTCCACGGAGGGTGGACCACGCCGTGTCTCTGTTCCTCAGTGAAGGCCTTCGAGGTGTCCCCCTGTCCAGCCGCTGTGACTGGCGCAGCTGTGAACCTTTTGCGCGAGTTCACAAAGGTGGACGTGCGTCCGCCTGGCCGCGTAGCAGATTTGCGTTGATCAGGGAGCTTCCGGACCGCGTCCTGCCCGCAGCGATGAGGGTTGCGGCGTCTCCGCATCCTGCCAGTGCGGGTCCCTGTCCATCTGACCGGAGCGTCCGGGGCGGGGGTGCGGTCCCGCGTGGTTGCGCCCTGCGTTTCCCGTGGCCAGGGTGGTCGCGTGCCGTTCTGCGTGCTCACGGGGCAGCTGCGTGTCTGCTGGGGGGGGGTGCCTCCCGCTCTTCGCCCGTTGCTCAGCGGGGTCGTTTCTGTCCTTGCTGAGTCCGGCGCTCTGTGCGGGTGCTGGACGCGAATCCGCACCGTTTTCTCTCCTCGGTCAGGGACTCGCCTCTGCGTTTTAACAGTGTCATTCGTAGGGCAAAAGTTATTAAATTTGATGAAGTTCAGTTTACCAAAAGCAGAGTGTCTCACGGAGATCAGACAGGGAGCATCACGAAACTCGGGCGGAGGCTGCTCCTTCCCGAACGTGTCCAGCTTCGGCTCTCACGTTAGGCGTTTCATGCGTTTTCAGGTGGGTGTCACACGTGGTGTCACACACGCCCTGGGCTCATACACTGTGCAGGTTACGTAGTCAATTGTCGGGTAAAATTAAAATTTTATTCTCTTGATATAACGGTTTCACACTTTAACACTTTTTTCCAACAAAAACTTGGCAGACTTACAGGAGAAAACGAGCACAGGCAGCGCGGAGACGCTCGGCCGGGATTCTGCCGCTACTAGCGTTTGCACACGCGTGCGCTCCTCCTAGCACACGCGTCTGTTCACACGTAGCACGTCTCTGTGCCAGACCTCGGCCTCGCCGCGTGCCCAGGTCCGGCTGTCCTGACTGGCCGTGTGGCCGTCTCGCTTCCCTGGCCCTCAGGCCTCTCGAGAGCCTGGTCCAGGCGGAGGCGGCTGCGCGTGGCCTGGGGACAGGCCAGGGCGTGGGCGGGAGCCCTGCGCCATTCCCTGATGGCCGCCGCTGCCCTCACGGGGCGGCCGGCTCCAGCTTCGCCTTCTCACGTCGAGTCCTACGGCGCGCTGCAGGCAGCCACGCCACGCGCAGATGCCTCCGCCCGCCCACTCGTTTCTTGTGTTTAGGTCCCTGAAAGGGATCGAGGAGGTCAGAGTGGGGGTGCCTTTCGGGTCCCCAGTGTTCTAAGGCCTTCTGGCGGCTGCCCTTCTGAGCCAGCCACTCAGAGGGTGCGAGGCTGGGCTAGGGTGGGGGGCGGGGGGCGGGCCGCAGCCCCGGGGAAGGGCCACGGCCCCAGGCTCTCACCCTACACCGAGGCGGTGGCTCCTGGTCACGCGGGCTGTCCCCCCTGCAGGACTGGAAGGACCACCAGCACGTGTGTGGTCGGTCAGCAGCCGTCACGGTGCAGGGGGACGAGGTCCACGTCGCCGAGAGTGTGATAGAGAAGGTCGCTGTGTGATGGCTCACCGGGTCCCTCTCTGCAGTGCTGCGGGGCTGTTGCAGGCCCAGGCCCCCCGAGGACTATGGGGACAGCGAGAAGGTGAAGGAGCTTGCTGGCCAAGTTACAAACAGCCTTTAAGTGACCTGCGCCCTCAGGCGTGAGCTCGTGCTGCCCAGGAGCCACGGGGACGTTGGACAGCTGGGTGGGCCCTCTCCTGGTGCTTTTACCCCTCGGTCGTGAGCATCCCGTCCTATCCACGGCATGTCGTGCTCTATGACATGCATGTACATACATGTGTCTCAATAAAGCTGATGTCCCTTGCCCACCCAGGTACAGCTCCAGCCCCATCTCCCCCGGTGCCCGGGAGGGAGGACTCAGTGTTCCGACAGCTGCTGGTGGGTGGTGGGTCACCCACAGTGCTCCTCCCGCCCACCTGTCACCGAGGAGCGGGATGGAGGGGGGCTGCCCAGGCACGTGGGGCCCTCAGGCCTCAGAGGTCCCTGTGCGGGGCTCCGCGTGTAATCCTGAAGCAGGTCCCCTACCTCTTGCCTTCGGGGCAGGTCACAGCTGAGAGCCCGGATTTCCCGAGGCCTCCCCCGGCCCCCCCGCACGGACTGCACAGCCTCACGGACTTGCTCCCCCGCTGTCCCGGCTGGGCAGCGGGACCTGGTTCTCAGGCGACTGGGACGCTTATCCGAGGGTCTCGGTGGCCTGTGCCCAGGGTGCATCCTTGTCACTGCTGGCCTGGCTGTTCCCAGAGCGGGGCAGAGGAGGTCTCGGGATCATCGGGTGCAGGGCGGGCACCTGGGGCTCAGCGCTGGTACATTTGGGCATCAGGCTCGCCTGGCCCTGCAGACAGGACCTGCCTCCCCTTCTGACCAAGAGTGCTGCTGGGGAGCAGTCTCTTCATGTTCCGGAAGCTTCTGTGGGTTTCCAGAAAAGCCCTCGGGGCCCCGGGCCCCTGGGCCAGCCATCGCCCCGTTTTCTCTGTGCTGAGGGGCTCAGAGGCCTGGTCTGCACTGGGGAGCCTCCGTGCGGGCTGCGGGGGACAAATGGTGGCCAGCAAGTGTCCCAGTTTACAGCTGCTCCTGCCAGCGCCTCTGAGGCGGCCTGTGAGCCAGGCGGGTTCCGGCACCCCCACAGGCTCCTGTTCCAGAAGGTTCTTGCAAGTCGCGAGCACCAGAGACTTGCCTTTTGGGACACGGGCTTGGGGATGAGCCAAGGGGCTGGGCCTGCTCCCCAGAAGCCCCGGGCCTGCGCTGCGGTGGCCGTGGGCCCGGCCGGCTTTGCTGCGTCTCTTTCACCTCGTTGACGAGTGGCAGTGGAGTGGCTGCGTCCCGCACGCTGTCATCTCGCCTCTGCCACCGCCTCCGGAGGCCGGACGAGCCTGAGCTGAGGGTGCGGGGCGCCCACTGGGGCCTGAACCCGGCCGTGCTCCCGGGCTGCGCTGTCAGGGTCCCGGGCGGTGCCGTGCGTGGGCTCCCTGTCTGTGGAGCGCCCGCCGCCTCCCTCGGGCCGCTCCAGGGTCTGCTGGGCCACGGGGGCCGCGTGAGCCCCTGCATGAGGGGGCTGGCCGAGGGACCTGCACCCCGGGAAGGAATCCCTCAAGCCTGAAAGTGCCGAAAAAGCAACTGCAGGTTGGAGCGCAGCCTGAGGGACCCCTGCTCAGACAGCCACGGGAGCTGGGGACCACCCCGCGGGACGGGGTTCCGGAACTACGGGCCGCTTCCTCTCCCCGCTTCTCTTTAACTCAGAAGCCTCAGGACCACACGTGTGGGGACAGTTTACCAAAGTGTGTCACCTCGGCCCGTGAGGCTGTCTCCACCTGGCCCTGCTGTCGGCTCCTGGAGTTTGCTCCCTGGGGCGCCAAGCATCGTGGCAGCCGTCAGCGTTCCGTGTGAGCGGATGGCACCTCCTACGGGACACAGCTTGGGGACAGGCGAGGGGCCTACTCTGCCAGCTGGTGCAATGGCCAGGCCATTTGGGCGCCCACGTTGGAGAGAGCTGCAGGAACAGCTGAGACGCCTCCTGGAGTCCCCTGTGTCCACCTTGTTCCCATAGCCACCTTGTCTCCTGTGTCCACTTTGTCCTCCTCTGTGGTGCTGCAGGGCGGGCGGGGACGGTGTGGAGCCACCAGTAGCTCCCAGCTCACCTGCAGCTGTGGCCTGTCCTCAACTCTCAGGAGCAGAGTTAGCTCTGTCCCCCAGGCAGGTGACGAGGACCATCTGAGAATGAGATGTGGCCTCAGCCACACATGGAGCCTGGGCGGGTGGCAGGGCAGCAGGTGAGTAGCTGGTTGGTGCACATGGCATTGGACAAGGTCCCCGTGGCAGTGTCTGAAGTGGGCACGTGGGACCAGCATATGTGTGTGGCGTGAGCACAGGGGTGGCGGCAGAGTGCTGGCTGCCGTGGAGCTGAGGGGACCGCGGCCGGGCCTGGGGCGGGCGTCCACACCCAAGACAGCCAGCAGCACCAAGGGCTCAGCTAGGCCACCCTGGGGGGAGCCCAGGTGTCTGCTACAGCAAGGCGCCCGGAGCTGGGGTCCTGCCTGGGTGCCCCGCCCCCACCCCCACGGCCTGTCGGACCCTGTGTGGGCGTGGGCACGCACCCTTCGTCAGCCTTCAGTCCAGCAGGAGACAGATGGGGACCAGGGGGCCATGGAGACAGGTCTTTAATGGGGTGGGGTGGTCAGGCAAGCTTCTTAGAGGAGGGCAGCTGAGGTCATGACAGGAGAGGGTGGGCACCGGGGACAGGCAGCCCCGTCTTTGGCACAGAGCCTCTCGGCACTTCCCCGATGGGAGCGCCACCGTGCAGTCCACCTGTCCCTGGCTGCAGGGGCGAGAGCTGCACCCTCTTCCCTGGCACAGACTGGCAGCTTGGGTGGCTCTGCCTGGCCTGAGGCCCTGCACCTCCCGCTCCTCCTGTGCCCTAGGCCTGGCTGCTGGGCGCCCTGGGGGCCTCACAGAGCGCCCCCAAGGGAGGAGCCACCTCGGTGGGCCCACTCAGCACCCAGACCCTTCTCATCGGGGTCTGGGCATCTCTGGTCAGCGTCTGGCAGAGAGCTGTGCTCTGAGCTCTAGGCAGTTGCCAGAACAGTGGGTGGGGCCAGCTCAGCTGTGCTTTGCAGGGACGCTCCGCTGGTCCTTGGAGACGGCACTGGCACTGGCCTTCCTGCTAGGCAAAGCGCAGCTTCAGGAAGCCTTGACGCCCAGCCCCAAGGCAAGGCTCCCGCAGGACCAGCTGTGGTCGGTGGCCTCCTTGCCCCCTCCTCCCCACCCCACCCCCAAGGAGCCTTCCGGGCCGGCGTTTAGGAAGGAACCCCTTTAATTAGTTCTACAAAATTGCCCTTCCCTGGTGGGGCCTTGCCGGGAAGCCAGCTGGGAGGTCGCAGACGCCCGAGGTTCCTGCGCTCAGCAGCAGCCACAGCGCAGGGCTTTGCGGAAGACGGTCCGGAACTCGGCGTTGAAGACCGTGTAGATGACCGGGTTGAGGGCGCTGTTGACGTAGCCCAGCCAGGTGACGGCGCTGACCAGCCGCGGGGGCACGGCGCAGGTGGGACACAGCGCCCGGGTGATATGCACGACGAAGAAGGGCGTCCAGCAGACCAAGAAGGCGCCTGGGGGCGGGTGGGGGCGTGAGCCAGGGTCCCTGCCACGCCTGGGGTCCTGGGCGGTGCCACCCTCCCCTCCGCGCTGGCCCGGGGCCCGGACCCACCGACCACCACGGGCAGGACCCTCATGGCCTTGCGCTCCCTGCCGGTGATCTTGGCGCGCTGCCTCCTGTGGGGCTGCTGCTG